GCACATACTTTCGTTGAGACAGAGCAATTCCCTTCTTTGATCTAGCTACTTCCATCCCGAGAAAGAACTTGAGGTTTCCCAAATCTTTAATTTCAAATTGCCTAGCTAGAAATAGCTTCAGTTTCTCTAGTCCTTCTTCATCATCTCCTGTCATTATAATATCATCTACATACACAATTAAGATAGCAATTTTCCCTTCGACCGTGTGTTTGTAGAACAATGTATGATCAGCGTGAGCTTGACGAAATCCTTTTTCCTTTACAGCCCTTGTAAACCTTTCGAACCAAGCGCGAGGTGACTGTTTCAAGCCGTATAAAGATTTCTTCAGTCGACATACCTTTCCTGCCACACTTTCATCATCAAACCCCGGAGGTACTTGCATAAAAACTTCTTCTTCTAACTCTCCATTAAGGAAGGCATTCTTCACATCAAACTGTAGAAGAGGCCAGTCGAGGTTAACAGCAAGTGACAACAACACTCTTACTGTGTTGAGTTTAGCAACCGGGGCAAATGTCTCCTCATAGTCTAGACCGTAGGTTTGAGTGAATCCTCTAGCTACGAGTCTAGCTTTGTACCTCTCTATTGATCCATCCGAATTATACTTGATCGTGAACACCCATTTGCTGCCTACAAGATGCTTTCCTTTTGGCAGATTTGTTAACTCCCACGTTTCATTTTTTTTAAAGCTCGCATTTCTTCTAGGACAGCTTCTCTCCACTTTGGAATGCTTAGTGCTTCTTGTATCGTCCTCGGAATTTCATCATCGGTTATGCTAGTGGTAAAGGCCCTAAAGGTAGGAGATAATTGGTGATATGACACATAACGGTTTATAGGATGTTTGGTGCACTCACGAACTCCTTTCCTAAGTGCTATAGGTTCATTAAGGCTCGGATCAAGAGGTGAATTATGGTCATGGGAATCAGTCTCAGTCTCAAGAATAGGATCAAGGAAATGTGGAAAAGAAGTTGTGGGAATGATGTTACCTGGAACAATACTTTGGTCAGACGAAAGGTCGGCTTGAGTTGGTACTGAATCAGTACCTTGCTTCTTTTTTCTTCTCGAGTAAACACGTAGTTCAGATGTGGGATCCACATTATTTATTATTTCAGACCCTTTGTGAGGTGTAGAAATAATAGGTATGACAGGTTCAACATCAGCTGCCCTACTTTGATTATCATAATTTGTAAGAGGAATCGGTAACACAATATTTTCCCAAAATTGGTCTCCTATTTCTTTCTCCCCCTGAAGAGAAGTTTGATCAAAAAATGGTTTGTTTTCAAAAACTGTGACATCCATACTAACTAATATCTTTCCCGAGCTTGGGTCATAACATTTATATCCTTTTTTAGTTGGTGAAACACCTAAAAAAATACACTTTATTGCCCTCGGATCAAGTTTATTTCTGTTAAGATCATGAATGTGGACAAAACTAGTGCAGCCAAATACTTTAGGTGATAAACCAGTGAAAGTCCTGTTAAGAGGATATGATAATTGTAAAGTTTTCAAAGGGGTTTGATAGTTTAGCACTTTGCTGGGCATCCTATTAATTAGGTATGCAGCATGAAGTATAGCTTCTCCCCAAAAACGTTTTGGAACATTCATAGAAAACATAAGAGCTCGGGCAACCTCTAGTAGATGTCTATTTTTTCTTTCGGCAACTCCATTTTGTTGAGGTGTAATAACACAAGAACTATGATGGAGAATGCCTTGGGTTGCGAGAAACGAACCAAGAGTGCAATTAAAAAATTCTCTACCATTATCTGTTCTAAGGACTTGTATTTGAGCTCCAAATTGTGTTTTAATCATAGAGTTAAAATTTTTGAATGTTTCTGCAGCCTCTGATTTTTCTTTAAGAAGATAAATCCAAGTGTTTCTAGTGTGATCATCAATAAAGGTTATGAACCATCTAGTGCCAGAAAGATTTTTAATCCTAGATGGTCCCCATATGTCACTATGAATAAGAGAGAAAGGTTTAGATGACATGTAAGGCAAAGAAGGATAAACAGAACGTTTATGTTTAGCAATTTGACAAATCTCACATTGAAATGAATTAGCATCCTTATTTTTAAATAAAATAGGAAACACATGGCGTAAATAACCAAAGCTAGGATGGCCTAGTCGATAGTGCCATAATATTATTTCATTCTCTAAGGATAAAAAACTAGAAGAACATGGTTTCTGAACTTGTTTACTCGAGAGGATGTCAGTAGCAAGATAGTAGAGTCCACCACTTTCTCTTGCACTACCAATCGTCATGATATCAGTGTAGTACTGAGTTACACTCTTCTCCCCTTGTTTCGCCTTTCCCAATTGTGTCTTGATCTCAAATAATTGCCCAGCATTCCCCAAATCTGAGTAGGTTTCCTTTAGGGCATCCCAGATGGCATTCGCGGATGGCAGAAACAAATAGGTTCTGCCAATTTCTGGTTCCATCGAGTTCACCAACCATGACATAATCATGGAATTCTCGGCCTCCCATCGTTCATATCCATCATCTTTGGGGCCTGGCTGAACTGTTGTTCCTGAGAGGTAGCCAAATTTGCCTTTTCCTTGGACGAAAAGCTTGACTGACTGTGACCACGGGAGGAAATTACTTCCATTTAGTTTGATGGAGGTAATCGCCAGATTCTGCATAGAATCAAAAGCGATACAGGGTTTGGTTCGGGCGGAGTCACCAGTAGAGCTGGTGCTGATATCGCTCGAGTTCAGGCCTGCCATGGAAGTTGGCGATACGGCTCTGATACCATAAAAGAAGAAAATAGGCGTAATTAATTTTCTTCTCATTTACCGAACTTAAATAGGTACAGAGAGAATCCTGGAAATCCTGGGAATTAATTGATTCCCTAGAATAAAAGGATCTACAATATCAAAAAGATAATCTACCTTAAATACAATTCTAATCAAGGCAAGAGATAATTCTACAATTTTACAATTAATTACAATTACTATGCGCCTAAAATAGATGATTCTGTCCAATAACCTAAAATAGATTATTCTGTCCAACAGTATTGCATATTGAAGTTCAAAGTGTTGCATATTATTTGTATTGCATATTGAAGTTCAAAGTGCTGCATATTATTTGTTTTGCATATTGAAGTTCACAATTCGCATCTTTACATTATTTCTACTGCATATTGAAGTTCAAAGTGTTGCATATTATTGAGTTTGTAGGTTAGTATTTTAAGCATGTTTTGTATTTGATCACTTATCTATATATATATATAATTAGGTTCAAGTGAGAAAATGATCTTAGAAGAGAAATGAGAATGAATATGGACCGTTAGATTGTATTCTGTGAAATTGAATGTGCATTAAGTGAAATCGAAATGTGCAGCACAAAAGGTAAAGCACAACAGTATTATGTGAAGCTGAATTCTGCATTAGGGGAAACTGAAATGTGGAGAATAAAAACTACGATGCAGTGACATTTTTGTGCCTTTTATTCTGCACATTTCGATTTGACGTAATGCACATTTGAGTTTTACTTTTCATTCTACACATTTCAGTTTCACTTAATGCAAATTTCAGTTTTACCAAATGCACAATTCAATTTCACATAATACAATCCAACGGTCCAGATTCATTCTTATTTCTCTCTTGGGAGCAAACTTTTTTAAAGCGAAAAGCGTCCAAAAGCAATTACCCTGGGCTTTGCTTAAAAGCAAAAGCGCTAAGCGAAGCGTAGCTTTCTCACAAAAAGCGATCTTAAAAAATAAAAGAAAATATAAAATATAATGTATAATTATGCCAAAAATGCATTGGTAGTCATAAAAGTCATTCAAAATAATACTAGTGCGGCATAAAGTTTCAAAACCTTCATCACACAATTACGCAAAAACACATAACTAATCATAAAAGTCATAAGGGTAATACTGGTGCGGCATACAGATAAAAACATTCATCACATAGTGTCATAGTTTCATTAGAAACGGTTCTTAGAATCTTCATCATTTCATCATCTCATCCTCTTTGTCATCAAATTGGCCTTGTTCTTCTTCACCCATAACTAAAGTATCAAAGTCCTCACTATCATCATCATAGACTCCAACATCCTCCTCATCTTCGTCCTCATCTTCATCAACAAGTCTACGGGTGGAGGCTTTTTCTTTCCCCTTGGACTTGGAACTTTCTGCTTTATCTTTCCATTCAGAATTGCGTCTAAGAGAATATGGCGTATCATGTACACCAGAAAACTTCGCAACATCTCCTCAGGTCAAATCATCTCCGTCATCAAAGAACAACTCTTCATTTGCATCATCAACTGCACCGGTCAACCATTCATTTGCCATGTCTATGTAATCCAAGCAAATAAGATCTATAGAATCACGCATTTCCCAACGACGTCTCAAAGCCCTGTTGTACTTAACAAATACCAAATCATTATAAGTAATTAAAATTTTTCAGTTAGTCAAATGAATGGAAAAATTGAAATTGACCTACACTCTTGCATTAGAATAACTTTTCTTACATGTTCAAATACGCTCCAGTTTTTCTCACATCCCGATGCACTTTTTGTTAAGCTGAGAAGCTTAATTGCAAATTCCTTTAAATGGGGAGCACTGACACCGAAAGATGTCCACCAATCAACTATAAAATGAATTTAAAATGTTAAAGCCACTCTAAATTGTAATAATTTTTTTAAATAATATAAATTGATGAATAGATACTAACCTGGGGGTTTAACGCCTCGTTGTTTCTTTGCAAATGAACTTCTAAATAGTCTGCGTCCTAATTCCCAAATGGACACCTCACTAACAATTTTTGCTTGAAGTTCTTCATTTGGAATCAACCTCTCCAAACATTCATAAAATACACTCACCACTTTAACTGAATTTATGGTAGAAGATACTTGTGACTCACCCGGAAATCGAAAGAAATTCAGATTCAAGAAGAAAGCAGTTGCGTGCAACGGCTGACGAAGTTGAGAAGTCCATCTCGTGTCTATTATGTCAAACACTTTCTTGTACTTGGATTGGTTGTTGTTGAAGGCTTTGGCTATTGATGCTTTTGTCAATTCCATTGCAGGATAGACATATTTCATAGCCGGCTTCACATCTCCATCAACCATTCGAAAGGTTGACATAAGTGGTCCTCCAACTTTCAGTGCCTCATTAAGTGTGTTCCAAAAGGACGACATCTGAACAATTCTACCACACTCCTTTGCAGACTCTTGTTTGGAATAATTGCTCGTTAGGAACTCTTCACAATTGAAAAGCTTGATCATCTTATTCTTGTGCTCCTTTAACCTCTTGAATGTCAAGAAAGCCATGACAAATCTTGTCTTAGCAAACTTCACCAACTCTCTCTTCCCGGTGAATTTCCTAAACAAGTTCAGCAATTTTGTTTTTGAATGGATGTAGACCGACAATTTCGGAGCTCTTTTATAGGTTGTCTGAAAGTGCTTAAGCTCAAATATGTCTTTGAACATCAAATGAATGCAATGAGCAGCACACGGTGTCCAATAAATTGTCGGGTACTTCTCCATTAAATCCTTGCCTAAACGATAAGAAAATGAAAAGAATAATTAAATTTAACTAAATTATATATTAGAGATTATGAGTTTAAGTATAAAATAAACTTACCAGCTTTGACATTTTCAGAAGCGTTGTTTGATATAATTTGAACAACATTTTCCCCTCCAACTCTATTCACAAAGAGTTCAAAGAGCTCAAGCATCTTCTCTCCATTCACAATGTCCAAACTTACTTCAACTGATTGGATAAAATAAGACCCAAGTGAACAATTAACTAACACATTGATATAAGCGCGATTCCTTCTATCAGTCCACTTATTCATCATCTATGAACAACCATATTGCTTGCAAATATCCTCATGTGGTTTAAAAAGCTCCTTCACATGCTCTACTTCCTTTTTAAGATATGGCACTCGAACTTCATGATAAGTAGGAGCTTTCATCCCGGGTCCATGTTGTGCGACAACATCAATGAAACTTTGTAATGTCTTGTAATTGACACAGTTAAAGGGCAATCCAGCTTCATACATCCATCGTGCAAATGCACCAACAACCTTTCCCCTTAACTCTTTCTTGCAAGATGCTAAAGTTACTTCTGCCCCTCTTGCACTCTTCAAAGTTCCCTGTTCTTTTGAAACCGTTTTGAAATACAAATTCATGGGCCCTTTGGTTGATGATGCTTTGCTCATAGCATCTCCAAGCTCTGGCTCTTCAACATCATCATCATCATCAAAATCATGGGTGGAAAAGTTCTCTGTCATCTTCTTTTCTTTTACTTTTGTTATCAAGAAGCTCCTTCACGGCAACTCTAACTTCTTGTGGACACTTAGGACACGCCTTAACACATTTAAAGCCACCGGCAAGATGTTGTTTGTGACGATATATACCCCCACTTGTGATTTTATCACAATATATGCATCGCACACGTGTGTAATCGTTTGGCGTGACCCCTTAACCCATGCTCCCATGCAGTATCCTGACTTTTAGATTGTTCTCCAGACATTTTTGTCTACAATTCTACATATACATGTTTCACAAAAAAACATAGGCTCTTTTAGTTTGCCAAAAAAATACAGGATGTTTTGGAAGCTTATTATACAAACAAATTACAGAGTAAGATAGAAACAAAGTAAAGTGAGCTGCGGAAGTCAGGGCTCCAGCTACAATCACAGTACAATCACAGAGTAAACTGTAAAATTGAAGAGCGGTCACTTTTCATTAATCGAGCTCAATCAAAAGTGCCGGAAAAGCTTCGCTTTCTCATGGTGCGGCGCTTCTTAAAAGCCAGGCGCAGCTTTAGCGCTCGCCTGCGCTTTGTCGCTTTTAGGCGCTTTTTACCACTTTTAACAAGTTTACTTGGGAGTCCTTTCTAACGGGAACCACTCCCTATATATATATATATATATATATATATATATATATATATATATATGTAACTATATAATTGACAGTTTAATAATATATATGTTATCGTTGCAAATATATATATATATTTGCAACGATAACATATATATTATTAAACTGTCAATTCATGATCACCATCATTATCAGCACCTTAATCTAAAAATATACTACCTCCGTCCCGTTGGAAGGTTCGCATACCAAAACGGCACGGTTGTTTCGGAAATAATTAAATAAAGTACTTCGAGTATATTTTGAGAAATAATTTTAATAGGTATATATTATAATGTAGTTAGTGTTGATAACAGTGATGTAATAAATGTATTATTTTTAATGTTTAATGATTAATTTGTCAATTAAGATTTTTAATTGTTTACTAAAATGAAAATGGGAACCTTCATATGGGACGTCCAAAAAAGGAAAGTGAGAACCTTCAAATGGGACGGAGGGAGTATGTGATATTGAACTTATAGTGCCAGTTGATTGATAATTTATTAAATTGTCAGTTAATTGTTTAAAATTATATGGCTCTGTAATTCCATGCAAAAATCATAGTGACACTCTTTAAAGGTAGATGATTCAAGCAGGAATATTCAGTTGATATTCCTTGGTCGATACATAATAGGTTTTATTAGGGCTGGGCACGGTCTAGGTAAGTGCGGGTAATTCTTAAGTTTTCAAGAGCCGCTGATTCTATTAAACGGGTAGGTTCGGTCTGAGTATACCAATTCTCAAAATAGGAACCTTACTCGCCTCGTTTTATTAGAAAGAGAGAGAGACAGGTATCGAATGCTAACAGAAAATATCTCATTCAATTCAACTGTATTAGAATACAAGTATTTATAGAGTTAGTTGTTCTAACAGTAACAGACTTAACAACCAACCGAGGCACTATTAAGCAGTATGACGTATGCTATTCTAATACAAGGCTTTTAGTCTATTACAAGATGTATATCTAACACGTTTGAAGCAAGCCTCTTTGGTCCGGTTTTGTCAAAAAATAGGAACCACCTGTTTGTCAAAAAATACTGCTACGCTAGTAAAGTAACTAATAAGTAATCACATTCTCAAACTAAATAAACATCAATGTCACCCTAATATAGTAAAAATTTAAAATAAAAAATTAAAACAAAATTTTGTATCAGTTAACAAAATACAAAATATCTGACCACAAATCTCTAAATTAAATAGCACACAAATTAAATAGCACACAACCGCACAAATTAAATAGCACCAAATTTTGAAATGTAGAAATTAAGATGTCATCATCCATAAACTAAAGAAATAGCACCACAAGTTCATAAAAAAATTAAAGCTTAATAAATCCCAAGTGTAAGTAAAATTAAGATAATTAAATGAATATGTCACACTTCATTGAGTAAGAGTCTTTGAAGTTTATGCTTTTGAAATAGAGAATTGGAGATAATAATTTAGAAGTTTATATGGACTTTGGACTCTTTATAATAGACTCATGAATTTCTTCAATTGAGGGTTTTTGTCTAAGACACAAGAACATGAAGAGCTTTTGTGTGTTGTTAGTGTATTAAATATAATAGAGTTTATTAAAATAATATTTTAAACCGGGTTGGTCTGGGTGCCCGTTTTTTAAATTTTAAGCACGTTCGGTTCCTAAAATTTTCAAGACCCGCCTCGTTTGGATTTTCTAAAAGTGGGTCCCAACCCCAACCTGTCACAGACCTATATTACCCGACTCGACCAGCGGTTCCTGTACCTGTTTGCCTACCCCTAGGTTTTATCAATTTGAGTGGGTAATATAATGAGATGATGGTGAACTCAGATAGTTGCTATAGGCAAGTCTTTGTAAAATTGATATCATAAAATCATATCCACATCATGTAACATGGCTTAAAGTTTCTGATGTCTAATTCTTTTATTTCTATGTTGTCACATAAATGAAGTCATCATATACTGAATCAAGATAAGGTTGTGGTGCACATTAAAAAATCTAGCATACAGTTCCATACTTCCATATCTTAATATTTGTGGGGTATCTTTAAAACAAGCTTTAACTGCTATAATGAAAGTTTTGTATTTTAATGTTTTATCTTGTCACAGGCTATTGCAGCCATGATGCGTGCGCAAGAGGCTGATCCTATGAATCTGGAAGTTCTCCTTGCACTTGGGGTGAGCCACACAAATGGTGAGTTTAATGAAGACGGAGTACTGCTAGAATATGAAGCAGTTATGATACTCCCTCCGTCCCATTTTGTTCCTTATAGTTCATTTTTAGTGTGTCCCAAAATTCTGGTCACATTCTAACTTAGTTCCACTAACCTTTTAATTTCACACTATCCTTTAATCTATAGATTCACGTTTTTACTCTTTGTGGGAGTTGGAACCCATGTTACTCTTTTTAAAAGATTAATTTTAATGGCAACAATCATCTTATTTTTTATAATTAAAGTCATGCCAAACCGGTCATATGTATCTTGCATAATGGGACAGATGGAGTGTATTTCCTATATTGTTTCTAGCGATGATTGCTATGGAGAAAATTTGAAAACTATCAATAATAGTGTTTGTAAAATGATCAGAACTGGAACAAGCAGCTGCATTGAAGTATTTGTACAGTTGGTTACGCAATCACCCCAAGTACGGGAGCATTGCCCCTTCAGATTTTTTACCTGACTCTCTATATCATAATGATGTAAGGCCCATTGTTTAAGTTGTTATTACTCTTCAAATGTACGTATACCCATGTGGATTCATGCCGTTGAACATTCACATGCTTTTTGGTTTTGATTGTGCGGGACATGCAGGTTGCTGGATTATTTAATGATGCTGCTAAAATGGCACCCGAAGATGCTGATGTACACATAGTACTTGGTGTATTATACAACTTGTCAAGGGATTATGATAAAGCTATTGAATCATTTAAGACTGCTTTGAGCCTCAAACCAAGAGACTACTCACTTTGGAATAAGCTTGGTGCCACACAGGCTAATAGTGTTCAGAGTGCTGATGCAATATTCGCTTATCAGCAGGTAAACTCTATGACCTGTTTTGGGACTTCCACCATTATGAACTGCAATTAGGTAGACGGGAAATACGAGTATAAACTATAAACATATGCACAAAGTAATATCAGTGCTCTGAGAATTATGAAACATTCGGGGTTGATCGACTGGCTTGAAAAAGTTGACTTGTGTTGCCATCCGAGTTCGATTCACATGGAGGGCCATTGAAGGTTTACCCGACCATCAGGGTCTGGGATTATTCAGGGAAAAAGGTCCCACACACATGTATAAAGGAAATGTGCAGTCATGATGCTCGCTGATTGGAGACAATGTTTGCCAATAATAGACAAAGAATTAGAAACAATGACCAAAATGTTACTCATAAGCTTTTAATGGACACAAATGTAAGTATGTAACTAATACTCCCTCCGTCCCAAAATGATGGTCCTGTATTTCCTTTTTGGGATGTCCCAAAATGATGGTCTTGTTTCCCTTTTTGGAAAGAAAGATTTGGTCCATATCATTTCATTTTATCATCTTCAAATCTCAACCACAACTTTTACCTTTTCAGCCACTTTATTAAAACTTGTGACCAAAAGAAATGAGACTATCAAATTGGGACGGAGGGAGTAATTATTTTGGACATAATCACATAAAGGTGGTATAAATAATCTGTAACCTAAAATCGTCCCCATTTTCTTGTCTCTCCTCCCATTAACTTCTCATCCGCTGCCACCACGGACCACCAATCAGTTGATGGTCGCTGCTGTCCAGTCACCGCCACCAGAATTCTTCTAGAAAAGTCCCAGGAAACTGTCACTCCTACAGTGAGAGGTGGGGCGGTGTCAGGAGGGTTGTGGTGGTGTTATTGGGGTTGAAGAAGTGATGACAATGGGGTGTCAGTCACAGGATGGTGGCAGCATATGTAGTCACTTTTATGGAATATTTATAAAGTAGTCACTGTTTCGGCATATTTAAGAAGTAATCATGCTTGGGTGATATCTATGTTATAACCCAAAAGAATTGATTTGCTTGAGTGCGGCTCATTACGACTGATCTTTTCTTTGTAGGCGATTGATTTAAAACCAAATTATGTACGTGCATGGGCAAACATGGGCATTAGTTATGCGAACCAGGTACTTTCTATGTCCGTTTCTGTGATTCTTTTCTGCTCCTGGAGTTATTGATGTGACTAAATGCAGTTAGCTTGCTATGCATGTTTAAATATCAGGGTATGTACGAGGAATCTATTCGTTATTATGTCCGTGCATTGGCAATGAATCCAAAGGCTGATAATGCATGGCAATATTTGAGAATATCTTTGAGGTATGTTGCGT